GTTTCATAAGGGGTCTACGGGGAATTTTAACCGAGACTACGGGCTCGGATACCCCACATTAAATTAGGCCTTGTGCCAAATCTGACCGCGTGGGGCGGTTGGTAGATATCCTGCAGTTGGAGATTCATTGTAAAATTCACTTGACTCACTTCTAACAATTGACTACTTCTACGCGCCGCTGGCGAATCTTATACGTGTTGTTCTTGTATTATCGTTCATTACCAACCTTCGTGTGATTATTCTATTCAATAACCTTCCTTAGGTTACAATAGCAGGTAAATTACCATAAAATGATCATGAAAATCGTCACTGTCGTCACATGATAACAGTGAATATATTTCTTATGGTTTTAAGCAATAAGAGCTTTTCACGTTGAAACACCAGTTTCCGTACGATCACTGAGTTAAGCAACATTGACCCTGCTCAGTACCTAGATGAGTAACCGCTTGTGCATGCCAGGGGCTGTAAGCGTGGATGTGCGCGTGGTGTAATGTATAATGACATGTAATTGTTGATCGGAGCTATGTTCGTTATATTCATTTACACGCAAATACTCTTGGGAAAGGGACGAATTCATCGTTTCTTCCCGTCTCTCTTTTTTGTTTATTAATATGACATGTATCATTATTATCTCAAAATATTGTTACATTCTAAAAATATTTTCTGGCTTTAAATAACCTGAAAAATGTTGATAAACCGTAAAAAACGAATCAATCAATCAAATATGATCTTTTAGTGTTACCCTGTCCCAGTTAAATCAACACGCTGTTATTGTCGGAAATATTGTCTCTTCAGGAGTAGGCTGGGCGCTCACAACCATCTCCGCCACCGCCACCAGTGGGGGGAGAAAGAGAGAGAGAGAGAGAGAGAGATGATGATGATGATGATGATGATGAAGATGCGGGTGCCGATGAAGACGTTGAATTATAAATCACAAGACAGTCGTTTTGCATTCAGTGGGGGGAAAAAGTGATGATGGGAAAATTCGATTCAAGAAAAAGGGGAAAAAAAAAAATATAAAAAAACCCTCATCGATAATCAAAATGGTGAATAGTTTAGTTCATCTGAAAAACGTTACGTTACTACTTTTCTTTTTAACAAACTGAGAAACAGACATTTTGGTTTTGAACACTTTTATAGCAACGATAAAAATAGCTGAGCTTGCAATGGAGATTCTAAAGGAGACATTTTCTCGTCTTTTACTCGCAGTATATATCAAGGGCCGACAACTATAAGTGGTTATGTCCGTTTTCGTTGAAAATGAGTTAAGTCCACCAAACATGTTGTTGTCCCTTGTGCTGTCTGTCCGAAGTGTTTACGTCCAGCCAGAACCACTGAAAGGGGCGTTTAAGATCATTAAAAAAATGTGCTCGACTATAAGCCAAATGATTGTTCTGAAGCAAAACTATATTCTACTTATATAGCTTTTAAACGGTTCAGCAATAAATATTTTTGGTTGACAGTTCTCAATGCATTAAACTAATTATTTTCTGGATTATAGGAGAGAGAGAGAGAGAGAGAGAGAGAGAGAGAGAGAGGTGGGGGGTACTTCAACGTGGTTAGCAAGCTTGTCTCGCTAAATTACAACTGAATAGTGAGTTCGAGACTCATCATTTGTCCATACATTCGGACTTATGATACAACTAAGCTACTATTAGTAAATCACTGGGCACATAAACATGATGTAATGGGTAACAAGCTTGTCTCGTTAGATCAATTATGACGGGATATTTTTCTACAGTATTGTAGTTAAACCCACTTTAAATCTCGAACCCAATGTCACATTCGATAGTGACGCGGGCGCGCTGAAAAATCTCATTATAGGAAAAAAATGAACATATGAGACTAATTAAAAAATTTTAGAGAATATGTGGTATTATGGTGACTGTTGTAAGACTGTGCAGCGTAAATGAGCGTAAATGGGTCAGTGACTGTGTCTTGCTAAATTAGCGATATGTTAATGAAGACCAGATCTCTCCTCCTATTTAGACCACGTGCCACATTTGTACATTTTATGCAATAAATATTTACAGGAACGAGAAAGAGTGGAATCTCTTGCTCCAGCTATGGGTTAAATAAAAGAGTAAACTGAGCTCTTTAGCCGTGAAGAAGTACAATTCAAAACCATATATAACCATGGCGTAGCTTATACTATGAAGTCATCGACAAAATCATGGCGTTCACAATCACTCTATAATTTTGAATGAGCTCGACCTACAACTGCGTCAATGTACTTTTTTAACGGTTTTGCGTTTTCAGCCGGAAATCTTGCATTATAGGTGTTCTCCATCAAGTCGTACGACCTCATAAGGTATCACCTTTCGCGCAATATTTGCAGAGCCAAGCAACGCAAATTTTCTGAAGCGATGAGATACTAGATGTTATTCCTCTCATGTGTTTGATCACCGCTATTGCTATTATCGTATTTTCTCGTGTATATTACGACCTCGTGTTTCTGAAGCTAAAAACAGAGAAATAATTATACTCTTGAGTATAATATAATCCCTTAGCACAGCAATCCGTATGCAATCTTTTTTGAAAAGTTGTATCAGATTATCCATTAAAATTTCAATGTCGTACATATATTTCACTAAGATATTTAATTTTTCTTGATATTAATGAATACAAATGAACCGGATGTTTAGGCATTACGTATTTTTTTCTCCTAATTTCCGTTTTAAAAACCCTTTTTTCGATTTTTCGGGAAAGGTGCTAACTAGATATAACCGGTAATTAATTTTAAGGTGTTAATTAATCTATCATAATTTTCTGTTTGTTATGACGTTATTACAATAAAATAACATAATAATTTCTATATATTGATAAACTATGAAAATAAAACAAACAAATGCTTTTCATTAAGAATTAAGAGAGATAACTTAAAGAGAAAATCAAGACATAAATAATCTTTATCCTGTGAGCAAAACTGAGACAAAAGACGTTCCATTACGCTGATCCCCAAAGGAAAAACAAATATGGCCGTTATATCAAATACCTTTTGTAAACAACTGTTATCAACACCTGCCTACTTTGCGTTTTATTATCTATTGTACTCATTAAGTGTATTTGCAATTTTGTTGTTTCAAATAAGAGTATTCTAAGCTAGGGAAACATTTCTGAAAATGTGTACTTGTGTATAATATAACCCCACTTTTTGCTTTTAATTTTCGTTCCGATCTTCTCGTATGATGAAATACGATATTTTTATTTTGTCAATATAAAACTTTAAGTTCAATGGTATAGATCCCAAAGCTCTAATGTCAACTGGGGCAAATAGTGGTCTGAACGTCCCACATTCCGGCAATAATAATAGTAGTAATAATTATTAACTTAATATTTGGCACAATGCCACAATAGCGAGATCAGATTGTTAACCATTACCCCATGCTAGGCATCAGTAGTTATTCTATATTAACTATACCTCTGTCCCATAATGTTTGTTACATTCCCATACAGATTTTATGCATTAAATGAAATAATCATAATGGGACAGAAGTCGCAATACCTAACTTTTCATTGTATTTCTATTAGGCTATGAAGACGAAGGAAAAATAAAGGATAAGATCGTCAGGTCCAGTTGTTATCGAGCTAGTATTGCAAACCCCTACTACTAGAAGTTAGACTCTCAATAAGCGCTCTACAATTGTGACCTTGTGTCAGACTAAGCTCAGTTTATTAGATAATGATAATATCCCGTGACTTTCTTCCGTCTTTCTTTTTTTTTTCAAATTACTTCCGCTTTGATCTACAGTCCCCATTATTTTTTAGACGCCTCCCTCAATCATCGAATGGATTTGGAAGAAAATGTCTTATGCCATTCACGAAATTACAAGCTTTGTAGGAAGCTTTGTCACTCTAATTTGTAAGTTTTTTTCTCGCTGACGTGGTGACCAAATTTAATTTAAAAAAAGGTAATTCAAAAAAGGGTCTGTGATGTAATCGATCCTGAACAGGCAACTTGACTTCAGTCACTTTTTCACCGACGTGGCTTCCTTCTGTCTTTTCTACAAATACTTTCATGGCTCTGACGTGCTTTTTTCTCTGGTTCCCTGACTGCATGAATTTAAGTGTGCCACTAGATTGGCATCCAAGTCCCACCTGTTTACTATTGAAATAGTCAAATGCGACAGATTCTTTTCTCGCACTTCCCGCCTGTGGAACTCCCTTCCGTTTACTTGCTTCCGTGATAGCTGCAATCTTCAAACATTTAAATGCAACGTTAATCGCCATCTTCTATCTTCTTGAATCCTGTTCATTTTTTGTCCTTTCCTCAATCCTCCCTATACTCAGTCTATTCTCTCATTTTCACCCCCTATAATCTCCTGCGTACTAGCACCATTCCCGCTTTGCTTGGGGTGAAATGATTAAAAACAACAAAACAACAGCTGTGAGATGATCATTTCTTATCTTACTATTGCTTGAAGTACATTCAAAAACATGCAGTTACAATTTACTAAATTTTAAGCCTTCAAAGTTTAGGGCCATATAACGTTAAAACACAGGTTTCAGCGTGCATAGTCAGTATTTAGATGACTGACCGCTTTGGTATTCCAACTGCTGTAACCCCTACGAAAACGCATTAGGCCCATGAAGTTGGGCAATGACCCATCCGTCATCATGAACGGCAAAGATACAAAGATATGGGGACGGCATATGCCTAATAAAGAATTTTCAAAAGCTGATTAACGCAAAATTTTAAAAAATTAAGAATGATAAATCGATCGATTGATCGACAGATTGATTCATTTTCTACGGTTCATAAACTCTTTGCGGATAATTTAACGTCAGTAAATATTTTTAGAACGTAAGGACCTTTTTTGGAGATAATAGTGATTTATTGATGAAATTCTTACTAATTAACCCATAGCTGGGGGGAAGAAGAGTTGAATTTATCTCTTTCCGAAGGGTATTAGCGTGTAAGTGAATATAACGGAATTGGTACTCGACTCTCTAATTAACAATTCTGATCCGTTAACCATTACACCACTCGTATTTCAAAGATTACAGCACATGATATTCCCATGCGGTCACCTATCTAGGTACGGACCAGGCTCGGCGTTGCTTAACTTCGCTGATCGCAAGGGAACCGGTGTTCCAACGCGATGTGGTCGTAAGCCCTGGTAGAGCGGTTGAATTTCAATCTAACTAGCTATCATTCAATTGTCTGTCTCATCTTGTAAATCATACTTATTCGCGCATCAGCGTGTTAAATTATTTCAGATAAGGTTTCTTTAAAATTACTTTGACATGAAAATCGAAACGCAGACATCAGGAAATTTTCTGGCCTGCTGCTTTAGTAACAAATGAAGGTTTAATTTACCCAGGCAGATTAATTTGATTATTTAGGAAGTATGCCCATTGTAATAAATCCATTTCGTTCTTTCTGTACAGTGCATTATTTGAACGCTGCTACAGTTCTGTACTAATCAATGGCCACATGTCCGGGACCAAGACGAGCCTTCAAGATGGAGCACATCGACAGTGCATTGACCTTGAGAGGGATGGGCTCGGCCTCTACGCATGAATGAATACCAGCATTTCAACACAAATATGTGGCGGGAACTGGTTAGGTGGTCATGCGCGCAGCAAACCTATGACGACACCCGATCATGGAACTAATTATAATGATGATGATGAGGGTTCTGTCGCCATTTTATTAAGTTGTTTTAATTTTCAGGTATAAGGAAAAAAATCTTTCCCACAATTCACGCATTTCATTAAGGTCGTGAGTCTGCTTCTAAAATCCCCAGCCAAAGCTATGAATGTCTAATCCTAATTCAGCAGGTAGTAATAGCATTCTCTGATTAGTCACAGCATTTCTTTCAAGTTTCACCCGTGCAACGAACGTGTCCTTGTCTTTTTTTTTGTCGGCGTAATCTCGCCGGATATGTGACCGGCAGATTAAGCGTCCAGCAGATGCAGAACAAGACAGATTTCAGCGGTGTTAATTGGTGCCAACAGAGTAGACACGTGATTGGTTCATAATTAAATTCTAGAACAAAGAGATTTACAAGGAACGATAAATTATTCTGACGGCCTGAACAGTTCTACTACGAAGAGATTGATGTTTGTGATAGTGATTCATTCAAAAATGATACTGTTCGTGTTGTATAGTTTAACCTCTTGTTACATACTATCGACATCTTTTTTTTTAATGATCCCGTGTCATCTAAATAGGGTATTCTGTTATAATATTTTACTTACAGCAACCGAATAAGAAATTTTGATTTCAGAGTACAGTAATTCTTTGATTTTCGGACACTTGTGGTTGATAAAAAATATGTCAGGATAATTCAAAATATTGGATAATTGAATACCAACATTATCTAAAAAGAATTGGGTTTATGAATTTATGTTTCTTAGATTGCAGTCTTACTTGTTCAAGCCTTTCATGTGAGACACTCAGATACCGTTGTCTATTAAGTGATCATATATAATATTGTTTTTTTTTTAATATTACTACTACCACTACTACTAGTAGTAGAATGGGGATGATGTGCAGGTAGTGTAACAGATATCAGTGTGGAAAGCGAACTCAGCAAGCCAATTTCAAATTCTTGACAGTCTATTGCATTCACTTTCGCACTAATTCCCATGGGAACAACATGAATCAGTTTTCTCCCCAGCTTTGGGTCAAATAGCAGGGTAAACTGTATTCCTTTTTCTTGAGTGGTAACCAGTTTAAGAGAAATAACATTGAATTCAAAATATGAAGAAGGCAATGGGAAACCTCTCCACTATATTTCCCAAGAATGCATGGCATCAATCAAACCATATAATAATTAGCTATGTGTATTTATTTATACATTTCCTGTCCCATCTATAGTGGGATGGGATGTAAATCAACTTAAGTTGGTAGATTTATGAGTGATTACTTCCCTTTGTCATTTTATTAATCTATACAAATAAAATTACTTCTCGCGCAAAATGAAGTTTAATTAATCACTTCCTTCACTCTTATGTTTTTTAGATTTCAGTCACATTTGTTCTACAAATGCACTATTGTCAAACTGCAATCGGCCTATTAAATGTCCTTTTTTAAATATATCTTACACATTACATTATTTCTTCAAAATGTTATCAATCCTTAGTCAAATGTCTAATAAAGAATATGCATTTCTACATCAAAATGTTTACATAATATACTTTACATATTTATTTGATATTGTTTATCAAATAACCCACCAAAAATAACAGATAAATGATCCTTTAACCTTTCTATGCCTATTGTTTCACCAGTGGAACATATTTTAAAACATCTTTTGATAGCAAACGAGCATTAATTGTATAAGCACATATCGTATTTTAGTCTTTTCTGTGGATATTATGAATAAATAAAACAATCAAAATTAATGCTTGTCTACTATAAAAAAATATACCTGAAAAGATGCTCCACCAGTGGAAAAGGTTAAATAACGTAACAAAGGTTTATGTGACGTAAAATTCTAATGATGCCTGCTGCAGATTGATAGTTAACAAGTTAGTCTTGATAGACCACTGCTAATGTTTGTCTTTTTAAATAACATACCTCTGTGGTACCGCGATGTCGTGAGGCGCGACATGAAAGCTGTGGGCATCAACACAGAGTCCTGGGAGAGCCTGGCAGCCATACGATTCAAGTGGAAAGGAACCTTGTCCAAACACCTCAAGTCAGGGGAGGAGAAGCCGGCACAAGTCGCCACGGAAAGGAGGCGGGGGCCGCAGAAAGCAAAGTGACAGCTCCAACAGACCAGAAACGGAACAAACATACGACATCTACAACAGAGACTGTCACTCCCGCATCCGCCTCTAGTCACAGACGTCGATGAAGACAACTAGGATGCTACCCCATGGTCAACCCTGACTGACGGAGGCCTACGATGACCTCTTTAGGACGCAGGCGATAATGACTCCACAGCTTCCTTTTCTTTATTATTCGTGAATTTCTATATATGTTTGGAAAAGAGAGTGGAGTAGTTTCCTGTTGTTTTCTCCGTGGTTTCGAATTCAAAGTTTTCCTTGTCTTAGACTGGCTGTTAGCATGGCTAGAAAGTTTATTTTAAGTGACTTGGTTGCTCCTTTATAGTAGCCTTGTGTCAGGTCATGTAGCTATAATAATTCTACATTTCCAGTTATGATAAACCGTGATCATTATCTTCTTGTACATGATTATAACATTCAGGAAATACAGTAGCTGTTAACTTCATTCTTGCCAAGAAATTAGAAAAATATCTTTTTTTTTCGGCAAACATGGACCTTTGTTCCAGCAATAAAACGGGGTATCAAAAAGAGGGCTTTTTCCATGGCACTGCGATTATTTGAACTGCCTTCACTCTTCGACAATTTTTGTTGTTTTAAAAAGCGATGATTAGAATTGTAATAAAACCTAAACATATGATGAAAGCAAATTTATACTTTTTGTTCTTGAGAATTTACAATAAAATTTTTAAACAATATTTATCTATTAGATTTTTTATTTACAAGAATAAATTTATATTTGCAACATTCTGAAAACTAATACAATTAGAACTAATGCAATGCAATATTTATCATTTACCAATTCATAAAGAAATAAACATGAAAACAATTTTTTATTCATAAATTTATAAACATTTACTCAGTTATTAAAATATGTGAACCAATTATAAGTAAATCCTTATTATTTATAATTTTATAAAGTTTGAATCAATTAACAATTAGCCAATATTTTGCAAACCATTCCAATAAGAAATCTAATAAATAAATACTGTTTACTGTTTTTGTTATCAATTCTCAAGAACAAAAAAAAACAAAAACAAAAACAAAAAACAAAAAAACCCCAAAAAACAGATTCACTTTCAGATATTTAGGTTTTATTACAATTCTAATCTTAGCTTTTTATAGCAATGCATATTGCTGAGGTGTAGTTAAAATAATAGTGATATTAAAAGAAAAAACGCCCTCTTGATACCCCGTTTTATAGCGGGCACAAAAATCGATGTTTGCTTTATTTCTTTCAATTACTAACTAAAATAAAAAATGGAACTTATAAACTAAAAGGAACAAAATTATATGAAAAAAATATTAATTTAAATTAAAGCCAGATTTTATTTTTACTTTTCATTTTAAATAATTGAACCAATTTCAAATATTTTAGGAGGAATTTAAGAAGGCAGTCATTAATTTTACCAGCTAGTTTTACTTGTACAACATGGCGTTGTCTTTGGCTCCATTTGTAAAGTTTCCTTGAACGTGTCACGAAATCTCTGGCCTCTGATTAATTATTACCACGTTCTTTTGCCGGGCTGCACTGACAAGAGATTAATTATACGTACTATAAATTTAAGGATTGTCTAACTTCTACCTTGGTCTTTGATATGACGTTTCTTGTTCGTTCCTGTTGAACCAGAGTGTATTATTTTAATACTGGATCAAGGGATTGAACTCACGACCATTACTGGGTGCGCCATAAATATTTAGTCATTATTTAAACAAAAAGTTACCTATTATTTAAGCATACATCGAAATGTACATATTCGTAAAAATAAGTTCAAATTTTGCATAAGGCTTCCTAACATTCTTTTGTTTTATTATTTAGTTTAATTAAATATGGCGGCTAAAATAAAATGGGATGATTATGTCGCATTGAAAATAGTTGGTATGAAGAACTGTGAGGTGATAAAACAGTTGAATGCTTGCAGAAAAACTGTTTTTAATATGTGAAAAAAAAGTTTCAAGAGTAGCAAACAACTTCACCGAATAAAATTCCAGTCAGAATCCGATCGATTCGTACCAGGAGAGTTCTAGAAGTTGTCAAGAAGAGAATGAAGAGAAATTCACGAAGAATCATAAAGAAGACGGCAAAAAAGCTGGATATTTTGAATAAGTCGCTAAGGAGGATTGTGAAAGAGGCTTTAGGGCTAAAACCACACAAGAATCAACGACGACAGCTGCTTTCCAAGGCTCGTTAGAAAGAAGAAAAATATTGGAGGAGATGTTACATACCACAGACAAATTCTTCGTTTTTCAGACGACAGGTTTTTCAAAAGACTAATTTATTAATCGAAAGTATACGCGAATCCCTCGACTCAGAAAAGATTTTTTGTCATTTGATTATTGACTGTCTTGGTGTTTATTTCCGTTTTCGCTCCACAGATGCTTTTTAGATGTAATACAATTTGAGCGAAGAAGTGGTGAAGAAATCATGTACTTCATTTGAGAAGAGATTAAAGGCTATGGTAAAAGCAAACGGTGGCAACGTGAATCGTAAATATATAAGTTCAAATATATATATATATATATATATATATATATATATATATATATATATTCCAAGATCATTTTCCGATTTATTCAAGCTTCTGACTTTCTTTCCTAGAGTAACAAGTTGCCTCACATGTTTCACGTACGATTTCATTTTCAATATAAAAACATACTCATTATTTAAACATAAACTGAAGCATGTCTCTTCGTAAAAAATAGTTTCAAATTTTGCAGTAGGCATCCCAACAATCTTTTTGTTTTATTGTTTACAATTTGATTAAATATGATCTCTTAAATAAAAAGTCGTCAAATTCTCGCATTGAAAATAATTGGTATGAAAAACTGTGAGATGATAAAACAGTTGAATGTTTGCAGTAAAACTGTTTTTAATATGTGAAAAAAGTTTCAAGAGTAACAAACAACTTCACCGAATCCAATTCCAGTCAGAATCCGATCGGTTTGTACCAGGAGAGTCCTTGAAGTTGTCAAGAAGAGGGTGATGAGAAATTCACGAAGAAGCATAAAGAAGACGGCAAAAAAGCTGGATATTTTGAATAAGTCGCTCAGGAGGATTGTGAAAGAGGCTTTAGGGCTAAAACCACGCAAGAATCAACGACGACAGCTGCTTTCCAAGGCTCGTTAGAAAGAAGAAAAATATTGGAGGAGATGTTACATACCACAGACAAATTCTTCGTTTTTCAGATGACAGATTTTTCACCGTGGAGTGTGTGGTCAACTACCAAAACGATAGTATTTACTCAACTTTACCATAGGTGTCAGAACACATTTCAAGCGACAGAAACCAACTGGTGTCATGATCTGTGCTGCTTTTAATGGTTCGAAGTCGTACTTGGTGTTCATTGAAGAAAGTGAATAGAAGAGTTTGCCAGCAATTATTGAGAGATGTATTCTCCTGGTTGTCGGCCATATTTAGAAATCACTATCAAAACAGAATTCCCGGCCAACTTAATGCAAAAGTAGGGCAAGGGTTATTTCTTTATATCATACTCAAGTGTGTCAGAGGTGAAAGTGTTAAATAATAGTTCAGTAGACTATTATTTTTTAAGGGGCATACTATATAGGCTCCGACTTCCGGAGGATGACCTTCAGAGTCAGATTTAAGACTTAAAAAGGAAGTCGATTTTGATTGGCTGAGCTAGCGTGGGAATGATAGTTAGAGAAAGGTTTTCCAACGAGTTGTTTCTTGATCGTCAAGCGACGTAGAGGTGTTCTCATTCGTGTCCGAAACGACTGCCGAATCAGGGGAGGGGAGACACCCCCACTGGATAGTTAGATAATGCAGATGTCGACATGATTAATAAAATTAGTTAAGTTAAAATTCTCTGTGTTGAAGTCTTTCAGTGCCAAACTGAAACGAATGGCAATCACCGGCCAAGAGAAAAAGCTGAGCCGAGGACATTCACTGCTGTCAACATGCAACAAAGGAGGCGCTTATGGCGTTACGGTACATATTGAATAAAGAGGTGGTGAAGAAGTCACGCACTTCAGTTGAGAAGAGATTAAGGGCTGTGGTGAAAGCAAAGAGCGACAGTTTTGAATTGTAAATAAATATAAAATTACTGTCAATGAGCAGAACAATCAACCTGTAAGATTTCATTTACCGAAACCTAAAACATTTTTATTTTATGATAAAATCAATAACGTGTGAATATACATGTCGTACTCTGCAGATACCGATTTTCTAAGTGTAGCTTAGATGTGGTACAAGGCCGAAAGTATCGGGCACCCAGTGAGGATCGAACTCGCCGATCAGTCATAATTGTTCTAGCAAGACAAGTTTGCGATTACACCACGTTGAGGTGACGATATGATTTTCTAAGTGTATCTTCGATGTGGTACAAGGCCGAAAGTATGGGGCACCCAGTGAGTATCACTTGTCATTATTCTAACGAGACAAGCTTGTCGGTGTGCCCTCCGCACGCTGTAGATGAGAGCGATACTTGATTGACAAGCTCCTATATTCTATGCGCCATTGAAGGATAACGCTGCTGTATTTTTGTAGCCTTTAAATTCAATGTCAGACGTGTTGTTATCATGGCGGGTTCATAACATTTTTTGATAATGTTTGTTGGATCTTTTGAGATGATGATTATTAGTTTTCTTACGGCATTTTTTTAACAGTGATGTTAACTCTGTCCAAACCCCGAGGCCATTCGAGTTAGTTACAGTATGAGAGATGTATATAAAGGATGTTCAGGCCGGTAGACGGAATAAAATACGGTTTTAAAAATAAATGGGGCGTCTATTCAAACATGAGTATCCACTAAAAATAACATTGAAAGTAATAAAAATTTGTCGGATTATTAAATAAAAATTTCTTTAGAAATTCTATTTTCTCTAATTGCATGACAACTCATTTGTTTGCATTCAGTGATACAAAAAAAAAGTCTCTTGAAGTTTCTGGTTGAGACTTGTAGGCAACTCGTATTTTTTTTACGGTGAGTTTCACCCTGTATAAGTTCCGGGTGCCACTCGAGGTAGAGGGTTACAGTGTAAGAGGCACAATTCAGGCAGATAGGTGACGAAGATAACGATTAAGCCTAGACTTGAACAGGTTGTGGAAACATCCTCTTGTGAGCCAGTTCCACAAAGCAATGGTTCTTTAAAAGAAGTTGCTTCAATGGAACTCACTTCTGACCAACGGAATACGAAGGGAATGTGGTTGGTTTTCTACAATGTGAGTGGAATGGCGGGTCCTAGCTGTGAAGGTTAGAACTGACGCAATAAAGGAATGCAGTTTGCCGGAGCACTTTCCACTGCAGGGTGGAAAATTATTTGTCACCCACAAGACACAGTGACGCCTTTGGACACTATCGAAACTGGAAAGTCAGGACTGGGTAACTCCTGCGCAAATATGACTGCAATACTCAATTTTAAGTCTGATCTGGCTCTTGTAAAGATAGAGGATAGTCAGGTACTTACTGGAGAATACATGGAACCGACTAATTTTCCTGCATCTTTAGCGATGAATCGTATGTACAAGTTCCACTTGAGATCTGGAGTGAGTTTAAGGCCCAATAGTCACCCAAAGCTGGTAGATAGAGTAATATATCTCGATTCGTTGGATTTTTTTGACTAGTTCATTCTTTTATTTTGAAATATTTGACAAGCTTTCTGTTTCGCATTAAATACAAAATAAATAGGATATTGGAGGAACTTAAAAAGTATTTTCAATGTATTTCTTCTCATCATATAAATATTGAAGGCTACACATTCCGAGTGATCTTAAATAGATTCGAATAATTATTCCGGATTTTATTTTGCTGTTATGGTGAGAATAGAAATTTATGAGATCATATTTATTAGTTGATTTGCAATAGACCCTTAGTTTTAGGTCATTAACATTATAGTTTAACAAGATATCGAGGAAAGGTAATGTGTTGTTTTCTCTTTTTCGTAAGTAAATTCTAGTTTGGTTTTGTTTTGTTTAGCTACAAAGTCTGGTAATATTTTTTTCGGGGATTTATTAATAGAGCGGCGTTTAGTATATCGGAACCATGTTAACTATTTCGGTAAAATATCTTGGAAAGGAAATCTTTAAAAAAACAGCTAAAACTTAACCAAGAGGTGAACGCATCTGTAATCTGAAGTTTTGTTTATGAAAATCATTGTTCAAAATGAAATCGGTTTGTGATGTGTCTGTACCTTTTTATGAGTTTAGCTATTGATTGGGAGAGGTTTTTTTTTTGTAATGTGTAAGATGATTTTTAAAAAGCCCAAAATAAATACGTATATCAAATAACCTTTGAGCTAAAAATTGATGGACTGGGACAAGTATTTTTCTTTTGGAAAAAAAAAATCACCAGAATATATTTATTCTAACCAACGCTCCAGGGGAAAGTCTAAAAAAGAGATATGTAAATTATATAAAAAGGAAAGGCGTAAACATATTTTTAGAAATTCAGACTAATTCTCTTCAAATCTTGAATATTGACTAATCGAACCTTCGGCCTTTCTTCAGCCCTGAATTGAATTTCAAAATATTGTCTACTAAATCCATTACATCTGACTAATCCTACCAAAACAGCATTACTAACCATCCTACTATTGATTTAGTACTCTAACTATAGATACAGAGATAAATAGATATTTTTTACGGCTTATTAAACATTTGCAGGTTATTTAAAGCCACAAAATATTTTTAGATTGTATGATTTTTTTTATAATAATAATAATTTACTAATTAATACATAACTGGACCGGGGTGGCGTTGAAGATGTGGATTCATATCTTTCCCAATGGTATTTACAAGTAAATGAATTTAACGAACCCAATTGAAATTGGAACCAAACTCCCTAATTTCTAGCCGTTATCCATTACACTACCAGCGCATCCAAGCTTACAGCACCTGATATTGCCAAGCGGTCACCCATCTAGATGTCGACCAGGTTCCATATTGCTTAACTTCGGTGTTCGTACGAGAACTGGTGTTTCAACGTGATATGACCGTAATGCATACTACCCGCTCATCCAAGTTTACAAAACCTTTTATTCCCAAGCGGTCACCCATCTAGTTGCTCAACTTTGGTGATCGTGCGAATTTTAACGTGATATGCCTGTAAGCTTACATCACCTAGTATTCACAAGCGGTTACCCATCTAATATTGACCAGATTCTACATTGCTTAACTTCGGTGATCGTACGAGACCCTGTGTTTGAACGTGATATGAATGTAATGCATACTAAAAGCTCATCTAAGTTTACAGCACCTTGTATTCTCAAGCGATCACCCATCTATCTACTGACCATGTTCGACATTGCTTAACTTCGGTGATCGTTCGAGAACGTGATATGACCGTTATGCATACTACCCGCTTATCCAAGTTTACTGAACCTGGTGTTCACAAGCGGTCACCCATCTAAGTACTAACCTGGTGCAACATTTCTTAACTTCGGTGATCGTACGAGAACCGGTATCTCAACGTGATATGGCCGTAAGTTCTAATCGTCGTGCAATCCCCTTTATGATGAGAACCAAATATTTGGACCACGCCAGCTTATTCTTCCTTCGTATACTTCAGAATATGAAGCCCAATTTTCTAACCATTAAGCTAAGGCAGAGATTCCCTGGTTATGAAAAGATAATATCCAGATGGGGGTAGAAATATGAAATATATTATATCCATGTGTAGCAAAATATAATGAATTTGGCATCCGCTTATGGCACCTCTTTTCATAATCGCTGTTCAAGTGAGTATTGACTTCTATTTTTACTGTTTATTTTACTGTTCCAATTTTTTCCGTAAGAATTTAAAGCACCTGAAATTCTTTGGCGAAATTTCCACCCTCATTACGCATTATGCAGACAGAGCAAATATTTATTCTGGAAAAAAGGGTATGCAGTGGCTCATCGGATAAAAAAAAATTAAAAATAAATTCAAGGAGTGGCTTTTTGTTCCGATTTCGATTCTGGGTTGAACGTTTATCAGGTATTTCGTGCAAATGCTTTGAAGTCCTGAAACACTTATGAATCGAAGCGAATATTTTTTATTTAGAAGTGACGTCACAGTGACGTTTTAATGACATCATAATAAAATAATGCATTTTCGATTAGTGCGCTAAAATTATTATATACCAGAATTCGATTAGTGCATATATAATACACGATTAGTGCAGTAAAACATTCTTCAGTTTAACCATAGTAATTGAAAATTGATTTTTTTTATAGTTTTTATAGTTACACATTAGGCACACTAATCGAGGGGTTCCTGTATACAGTATATACACTGGTGATATTTATACCGATATCTACTTATGGCATTTGATAGCTTACAAGTAACCCAGTAACCCTCTACCTTGATAGGCTCTTGGTACTTGTATTGGTTACGACAACAAACAGATCAGTGAAATTATATAAAACACGAGAGTCATTAGATATACCCAGATTAGGCGTAAAAATATTGTCAAAAATACGGATCAATTCTAAAGTTTTAAGTATCGATCAGTTGAATTTTGTGGCCTCTATTCTGTCTTGAATTGAATGTCAAAATAATATCAAAAGTGAATTTCAAAATTGTCTTCTAAATCCTTTATAGCTGACGAATTTCATTAACACAGCATCAACCCCGGTACCACCTCTTATTTAATTTGGCAGTAGGCCACAATTATCAGGTACTCAGTGAATATTGAATTCATTAATAATGGTCAAGCAGAGTAGTTGTCTAACCATTACTCTGCTTTGAGGTATCCAATTTTTTTACTAAAATCATAAGTATATTTTTATTCAATAGTCAATCATACTAAGTCACTAGCCATTACGCCACGACTAAATATTTGGTAATTTTAGTTTGGCCCAAGATCACAAGTAATGGCTACTTTGTAGAGAAGACTCCCGAAAGGATGTTTCCTAGATCACTACAATCTTAACCTCTTCAAGTCTAGGTTCATCCATTATCTATCCATCATGTCCTCACAATCTACACTTCCTCCTCTTACGTTCATAATGCAACAACGTATCTCAGTAACCTTCTTCCTTGAACGTCTCCTGCGCCTTGTATATTGGTAACATTTAACCAAAACAAAATCATTATATACAGCCATAAAATAGGTACAATATTTGCCACAGACTAAACGCCGCAGTCATCTCGCTACTCTGCCACTAAATGCCGTGGTAATTGTTCAAATTATATTTTTTAGTTCCAACAGTTCAGACCTTTGTCGCTAGGACACGCCATGGCACATACACTAGATTGAATTAACATCATTCTTTTCGTATTTCATTAGTAAGGAGGAATTTTCACTCAGACATCTTCTTCCCGAGAACCGACTCCTGCGAGGATGCTTCTCTGATCATTATAATCTTAACCACTTTAAAGACTAGAGTTAAACGTCATCAATCCAACATATGCTCATATTCCGCCCTTAGTAACTCTCTACCTTGAATCGTTCTAGGGCTTTGTATTGGTTGAATATTTAATAAAAACAAGTAGTAATTTTCAACCAGACTAGCTTGCTAAACACAACCAGACGAGGCTCTCTACTCTCACATATATTTTCGTTTACCGTACAGAACAAAGGCTAGATACAATGTGGTAACAACAAATACAATGTTTGGAGAAAAAAATGGTGACGTGACATAAGAGAAAGAAATGGTAACTGTATGACTAGGTAAGCCATCAATCTCAGATAAACTTGCAATAAGTAGGGACTCGTATTGAAATCTAGTCGACGCCATTTTATTAGTTCTGATGGACATTTCTTAACTGGCATCGAACAGAAAAACAACCCGAGTGTTGTGATGAAAAGCAAGAGAAATAAAATAGAAAAGAATAGCTAAATTTGGTAATGAGTTTTCTGTCATAAATTCTCGTATTTTTCGGTGTATAATATGCACTTTTCCCTTCAAATTTGATATCAATATCTGCTTACGTTCTATACACAGAAAGTATGAATAACAAATATATATATACATTATTTACATTATTCGGACTACTGTCCTCATCTTTGTCACCATATTTATTACAACGTTTCGGCCGTTGTACGCTCCGGCCTTCTTCAGGTGGTTGGAATGTCGAACTGAACCCTTTATTTCGCTCACTGGGGTAGACTGTTCGTGCCATGTTTAATGGATGTCAGTTATCAGTTATCTCCTGTTAATTTTTCCTCTGAAAGTTCTCCACTGCCTTTGTGTCCTGTCACTGGATCTAACCAACGCCTTTATCCACTGTGCCATGTGTCTTAACAACGAACCCTGGTTATAATAATTAATACTGTAATGTTAGGGTTAGACTAAAATAGAAATCATTCTAACTAATTAATATTAAATTTTACTATAAAATTGAAAATTAGAAAATACCAATTTTAAATTTAATCTGTATTAAGTTTAAAATATAAAATTATTTAAAGAAGAAACTTAGGAAAAATACACGTTTTATTCGTTGTCAATTTTTTTTCAACACCATCACTTGATAAGACACCAGATGTGTTGAAACAAAATGGCTATTTTTGTAGTGATTTTATAACATAGTTATGTTATAATTTTCGATAAATTAAATAATATATATATATATATATATATATATATATATATATATATATATATATATAAACGGAAATAATAAAATAAAATGCTAATGACCTAAAACACAACAGGCTGTTATAACCAGAGGTTTAACTAGTCAATTGCAACCTCTTGATGTTTTTATTAATAAACGCTTCACAAATGGAACAAATGGTTGAAGCAGCAACATTTTCCTACGGCTCATACTGGTGTGCATAGAGAGGGAGTGAAGAGTTCGTGGACAAAATAAGTGATATTGTGATTAGCATATACACTCGAGTATAACACAAGTTTTTATGATCAGGTTTTTTACGTCAAAATTAATGGTGACGCAATACACAGCTAATTTGGGGGACCTCTAAGCGGTGTAATGGTTAGCGAGCTTGTCTTGTTAAAACAATTACGACTTAGTAGTGAGTTTGATCCTCACTGGATGCCCCCTACTTTCGCCCTTGGCCCACATCTTAGCTACGCTTGGAAAATCACTATACATAGGTATTTTTTGGGAGGTAGTTAAAAATCATATATTTTGGGTGTCCGGTTGCGCTATACACAGCTAATTTTTTCGGGAGTGGATTAAAATTTTCTGGAGTGGGTTAAAATTCGTGCTAAAAATTCAGGGGTTGCTCTATACATGAAATCGACTTATGCACGAGTATATACGGTAAGTCGTTAAAAAGAATGTGGGATCAGTAAGACAATTGATGACAGCGAGAATAACATTATCTTTGTTCATAAAATAAGACAATGATGAAATATTTGATTCCTTTCCAAGCGATACTGAAAGCAATGAGGATTTTGTAGATTTTAAACTAAATTAGATAACGGTAAAACTTTTTTTTTATCATTTACTGAATTTTTTATTTTATTTTGATGTTTCGAACTCTTTTTGTGTTTATCTATAACACTAATTTATAGACTAACTTTTAGCTTTTTTTCGCAAAACTTTGTCATCAAAAAATGGCGGTTGTGCTAGCACGAAGTCACAAGACACCGTGATCGAGGGTTTGAGTCATACCAGATTATGCGATCGTATCCCCAAAAGCTATGAATAAGATCTGCTCAAAATAGTTGCAACATAATTCACAGACGGCTTCTGTGAGTGTTGAAGAAAAAGAAATGGGTGTCTGCAATAGGATGTACTCGGGAACGAAGAACCCGCTTTTTTCTAAGAAAATGGATGGAGAAATCCACGGAAAATTATACAAAAAGGAAAAAAAATGAAAAGAAAAGGAAAATAAGCTGGTTGACTTTTAACTTTTAGTTTTATATATTGAGTACGTACGAGAAAATAAAAATTCTATTTTAGATAAGTGAGATAATTTTTAGTAATATGATTTTTAGATAGTAATTTTTAGATAAGTAATATGATTTTCAGCGAAAGTCACTTAATGCGTGACGGACACATAGATCCGCTTACAGATTGGAGTGAGTAGATTTTGAAATGAACTTAGATAAGAATTTCTTTAGTTGTCTAATTTTTTTTTATGTCTGTCAAAAGAAGAGTGCGTTTGCTGAAGAATAAATTTAAAAAAATTATAATCTTCCCATATCTAAAAACAGAAAAGAAAAAGACAATGAGACAGTGACCACCCACACAATATAAGGTTTATTTTCAGAATTCATGTTGCACGCACATTTCCTACATCTGCAAAACTATATGTAACTTGACTGGTTATTTTTGTGAACACACTTTCCAAATTATAATTTTAGAATGACGACTGTCATCGACCGAGTGACGTAAATATTTACCCGCGGAACTAAAATAACTATATTCTGAGACAGTAATAAAATGATAAAAATAATAAGAAAAGCACACACTATATATATATATATATATATATATATATATATATAAATATAAAAGAAAGAGGTTGTAGTGGTTCCAACGAGAGAAAAGTATGTATATTAAAAAGAAGAGAAGAGAGGTGCCACAAAC